AAAATGGCTAATTATCCCCTTGCCTTTCCGATACAAGGCAGAAATGCCGATGGTCCTAGTTTAATAGACCTAATAAAAATTTTTTGCACTTACCTTTTAAAAAGAAGAATAGATTTTCAACACATCGTGGTATATGGATATGTCTTAGAACCGCAATAGGCGTGTTGAAGCAATTCATAGCCTGCGCCTCATAGCCATTGGTCTGTTTATGTTTATGGTCTATGCTTATTTCCATATAGGGGTAAAGGGTGCTGGCGCAACACCTTGGAATTGATCGATTAAAAGGGATTTATGTCTTTAACAACAGATATACAATAAATTAAATTTTTCGGACATAATAAAAATAAAGATTGAAAATAGTTAATTGATTTTCATTTATAATTTCACTGAAAGTAATATTACCCCCTATGAATAATGGTATCCCCTGACATCCCATATTATATCGTTCTTTGATCGAAGCATGGCGCAAGGGAAACTAAAGGCAAAAGTTCAAGTGCCCGGAAAGGGAAAACAGAAGTCACTGAGACCAACAAAGAATCACGTCTTACGGAAAGGTCTATGGTTTTTCTAATTAGATAATATAATGTTAGTAATTATCAAAAGAAGTAAATGACAACGAATTCGTCAAATTGTTTGACTTTTACCTCAATTTATGAGATTCGTAAACACATGGACTTTTGAGGGAATTTTTACGGACCGGTGGTGGATTACAGACCGACTTTGTTATAACAAAACAAACTTTTATATACTGTTACGATGCTAAATTGCATCTATTTCTATGTCTTATAGTAGCAATGCAAAAGCTTTTTTATATTTTTGAATCTGACTAAAACTGAATATTTACTAGCATTCTAGCCCCCTTCCCATTTAAGAAACAAAAAAAAAATTAAAAATCGGTCAAGAAATAAAAAAGTTATTGCACTTTTAAAACCCCAAATTGATGGATGTCAGTATACACTTTTTTTTTAAAATATGCCAAAAAAGTGACCGAAGACCATTTCTCAGCAACTATTGAAGATATTGGCATCAAATTTTCAGGAAATATCCTTCCGACCATTAACTATCTATTGGAATTTTTATAGTTGGGCTATATAATTTATTTGTTTTGATATGGGGTCTGCAACATGGATAAACAACCCAAATTTGGTTAATTTGCGTTGAAGACTTTTTAAAGATAGAATTCACATATGATCGACCTCAAATTTCGGGTATTGCTTTATGCCGGCAGAATTAATCCAACTTCCTAGACGGCTCCTCGATTTGAGGGTATCTAGGGATCTTAAATGTTCGCCGCTAATCCATACGTACGACCTTGTTTTTCATTCAACTTATCATTGTCAGGTTCTCTGATCCGCAAAACAAAGTGAATTCTGGGGATGGAGCACTGGACATCCCATACTCATCTAGCCCATTCTCTTTTCTGGCAACAGGCAGCCACGGTAGCTCAGTGGGTAGGACATTGGCTCACTCAACTTGATGTGCCGTGTTCAATTTCTGCATTAGCTGAGCAAGTTCATTGTGTTATACACACCAGCCTCCCCCCATGTGCGCATAAAAGAAACCTCGACAGTTGGAATTCGAAATAAGATTAGGCTGTTGCGCCGCTGTTTTGGCAAAGTTTCCCCTCATAGCACACTATAATGGCGTGTTCCCCCCACCCACGCCTCCGCCCTCTTCATTACCCCAGTAGGAGTAGAACATTAAACCCCATTTCATTTTCTTGTATCAGATTCCATGTGGCTGTCATTTGATCACCAATAAACGAGAAAGTAATCCAAAAGATAATTTTTAAAAAAATTTAATTTTAGGGAAATGTTATTGGAATAAATAAAATATTGTAACAATACAAGAGAAAGAATTCAAACCGTGCAAAAGACTTTATACCCCTAAAAAAGTGCACGTGAAAATCATGCCTCAGAATCAGCCCACTGTTAGTGTTAGCAAAAGGGAAACTTGGTTTGACACGTTCACAATAACAAGAAAGCTGCCGTGGTCTGCACCCACATCGGGTGGAGTTATCTTTTCTTTTTTTCCACATGATTTGTTTTCCCGAGCTCTGGCACTAGTTCCAACGGTTGGTGAATGAAATACAGGTCAATATAACTAGAAAAGGGGTCATTTTATGAGAAAATACGTTTACTTCCAGTGACGAGCGTTGTTTTTGCCTTTATCTGATAATTTTATTTTTTCAAAATATAAAAAATCAGTCGTAAATACGTTTCTGAATGTCCAACCCACGCTCGACACAAACTCTATTTTCTCCACTTCACGAAAAGTAAAAAGTCATCGGTGTTGGTGGTCATACACCTTCCCGAAGTCGCGGAACAAAAACGACAGATTTTACGGTCAGATTTTTTGAGTGATAAAAATAGTATCAGTGGCGCCCCTAGCGAGCTTTTGCATTGCTACTTATAGGGATTAAATAAGAGTTTAATGTTCATTACAATATTATACTTTGTACTAACAAATTTAGTCAGATGCTTTCACTAGCTATTTGATACCTACTGTCTGAACCATCGTAAATTTACGGATTTCTTCGATTATGAACAAACTTCTTAACTTTAGTTATTATAAACTTACCTGTGTGTTTGAAATCATTTCCCATTAAATATAATCCATTACCCAACTAATTATCCCAATGAATAAAAAAATGTTCTCCTGATTATTCTAGGGGGTGGGGGGTGGGTTGATGGCCGAATGGTTAGTGCATGCACGTTGTATCATAAGGTCTGTCATTGAGTCAACTGGCGTGTGGTTTTGATTCCCCGGTTGTATGTGACTAGGAGTAGGGTCACCTGTCGAACCTTGGTTTTCTCCAGGTCTTCAGATTTCCTTCCACTGCTAGACCCCTACGCACAAGCGAATTATTGAACCATATGTTAGTCCTGAATGTCCTTGTTTGTGTCAAGTGGACAGTCAATCCCATCTCTCTCTCTCTCTCTCTCTCTCTCCCAGCAACTGAACATTCACTGGGGTGAGTTCAAATTTTGATAGAGCAAATTATGACTGTGTTGGGCACCCTACTAATGGAGAGTTGAGGGTTATTTTGTCCCAAGTGCAATTGATATTATTCATAGATATACTATCTAAAAATAAAACCATATCCTCTACTTCCTACCACAAGTGTTCTAGAAGTGTCTCCAATAAATGACCAAGAATTTTTTAAAATTCTTTGAAGATACTTTGAAATAGGCAAAGGAAGATGAACAAATGATCATTATTTATCATGTAATGTATTTAGAATCTGTTCATCAAGGATAGAGTTAGGTAAGCCATAGGGCCAACTTATGGTTCATTACACAAAATATTACTACAGAATGATAAAAATCAAGTAAAGGGCAGGTTACTAGATCAGAAGTAATATTTTCAAAATTGCTTATCGGTTTTGTATTCACATTTAGTCCATCAAAAGGTTTATTGAAAAATACAATTATGTACAGAGAAGAAGAATTATCCAGGCTAGGTTTATTTGTATTGTTCATAATGAAAATGTGATAATTTGTTTTATACTACCTAATAGTTTTTACTACCATAAATGAACATAATGCTTGAGTGAAATCGCTATGTGGTGAAAAATACCAAATACTATTGTTTTGTCTCCTTTTGCTTTTTTTTACCAACGATTTTGGGTAAAATAATAAGTTGAATTGTGGATGCTATTATCAAATTACGATTATATTTTAAAAAAATATAAAAAACATATTCCACATTGTCAGTTTGATGGAAAGTTTTGATTTCAATGTCGACCATCTCATGAAATAGTCCTGTTCCTTATGTCTTTCTTTATTAGCCAGTTGGTGCAGAAAAGTAGGATGTTAAACTGCATTTCATTTCATTTTGCTCCCCTTGCACTACCTCGGGAGATGGAGTAAGCAGAGCATTTTTGGAGCATTACTCTTGCTTTTGTACATTAAATCAAGAAAAATTTGAGACACTTGAGAAGATTCTGTAATTTCTGTATTTGTATCAACTTTGTATCGAGCTATATTAATAAAAGAAATGCATTCATATAAAACATTAATAAACATGAGGCATCTTGCACAAATGTGACTGAAATAGAAATAGGTCTCTTTCAGTGTGGGTACATGTACATGATTTGAAAGAATAATTATATACTGTTATTCAGAATGAGTGTAAGTTATTCATCACATGTCTTTCAGTTCAAATGTTATTGTCATTTGGTTTGGGTTGTGGGGTCATGTTAAAAACTTGCACATTTGGCAAAAGAATTTCACAATCATTACGAAATAATATTGAGTCAGCATTTTTAGAGCATTTTGTGCGTTTGTAGTCATTAATCACTTCTGATGTGCTAAACACAATTTACTTGGGTGAGATTTATTTCATTGTGTTCAATTGAGCTCAAGTCATTACCGTAACTTAAAAGTTATATCAACTTATTTTTGCAGGACATTTCACAATTAAACCAAAGAAGGGAAAAGAACTTGAAACATTCAAATTGAGAAAGGTAAATGGAAATTATTTTTTAAGAAAATAACTTCATTTGTTTCTTCTAACAAGGCTGCTGTTCATAATTTTGAATTTTAGAGTGGAGTCTATGAATGCAAGATGGCTGCAGTAGTCATGTGGGTTGGTCACTGAATTCATGTGGGCCAAGAAGAGCTTTCTTGCAAGGAATGTGTGTTATGGAAATCAGATGAAATACAAATTGTTGTGCTCATAAAAAAAATACCTTGTTTGTTGGTATTTACTGTCAAGCTAATATACCTATTCTTATATACGTGTAGATTCTCTAGTTGTCTCCCTTTATTAAAAAAGACCTGTTGGTAGACAAATTATTGAAATAATGAAATACATACTGATATTAATCTTAAAATCAGAATGCTTGTATTTATGAATCCTTCTTTTGTTTTCAGAATTTAGAACGAGCTATTAATACAAACATTGAACATGATGTGTCTATGAAGGCCTCATCAATACAACCTCAAAGCTTCAAACTTATTAAGAAAGGTGAAAGCAGTGGGTCTAAAAAATAAAAAATAAATGATCAAATAAGGTTGGCTTTTTGTTATTTTTTTCTAAACTAGAAATTGGGAATTTGATGTAATACCTATGCTAAGTTTTGCAAGAACAAGGGATCTCGGGCATACAATTGATCAGTACTTTCAAATTGTGTTGCCTTATTTGGTCATTGAATAGACTTTTATCTATATATTGCTACAAGAGATTTCAAAATAAGGTTTTGAAACGTATGCATTCTGTGAAAAGCTGCATTTTTGCTAGAACATTCAGTCAACTTAGAAAAAGGGGAAGCCATCTTCTTCCTGTAACTCTCAGTACTTCTTGTACAAGTAAGTGTTTTGTAATTTTATTAAAATCGGAATGGGTTTAACCCTTTACCAGCTGGATAACCCAAAATTACTGCTTCCTCTAGCGTCTCTAATTAATTTGTCCTGTGGGAGTCACTGATCCATTTTTTGTTTGTTGGGAATTGGGTAATGCATTGTGTATCTGAAGTCTGTTACCATAGTTATTGAAGTATATGACACAAATGTATATGACATCTAGGTTTGTGTACCTGGGGACCCGAGACAAGAAAAATACAAAATTAAGACCCTTTGTTTCCCCTTTTGGACGAAAAAATTGATTATGAAAACAACTCTTAAAATCCTAGTTGTCTGTGATTGATTCCGATTTTATGCCTAATTTTGCAGAAAACCACAAGTTGCTTTATAATAATTCTAGGAAATCACGTTTTCATAGCATACTTTTTAAAAAAAAGGGCATTTGATATTGTTGAGTGCTGAAAGCCTTTATCTTTGTCCTCGGAAGAATTCACAAAAATAAAAAGTGTCTGTGTTGAGAACCTGAGTTGGCTCTTTGCCAGGGGCTAAGTCAAGAGGAAGCAATGACATATTTTTTGTCTTGGTTTTGAGTTTTTGCGGACCCCCTCTCAAATGGGAAAATCATGTGGTTTCAATGCAATTTTAAATGCTGTAATCATGATCAAACTATGCTCAAACCGTCTCGAGCACATACCAATTGTTCCACACAACCCAAAATTTCTTCACTTGCCACGATATAGATATTGAACTTTTGTGCCTCACCACGTCCCATATGTCCACCTTAAACCAGCAGCCACCATTGATTACCCTACCCGCTAATAAGAGACTGAGATTACATGATCTGTACACCGCCATTACATGTCACAGACAACAATAATTAAGTTTAAAGATGCATTATATAAGAGTTAAATCTGCCTATTGCAGTCTTTATTTTGGCTTCAAATGTTATATAAACTCTTATTTAGACATTTATCAACATGATAAGCCTATCAGATGACAAAATTTAAATAGATTAGGACATCTTCCAACATTCGTAACTTCGCTAAGAATAAAATAATTTGAATGGAAATTTTCAATATATTCATTTTTAATTATCTATTTTTGAACTGTTATAACAAACACGACCAGCACTTTACCTAAATCTTACATAATGCATCTTTAACAGTTAGGAGAATTTGGTGGACTGATTCTGAAATCACGCCCCAAATATTGTTTTGTTTACAGATTTAACAATGCCTAGCCATAAATCTCATCCTAAAATATCCTGTCTGTATGGACCAACCAATACATACATGATATCCACTCCTGTAGGAGAATTACAATTGGTGAGCTGTCCAAAAGGTCTTCATTCACTCGGACAACATTCAGATTTAAATGATGAAAACTTCAGACCAGACTACAGGTTGGTTTAACTTATACTACCAGCAATAGTAATTTCACGTCCGGATAAAATTGTATTACTACAGGAAGGCTAATTCAAGTGTTATTGTTTGTGACCAGGAGTAGGGTCGCTTGCATGAGGTCGTGGGTCTTAACTGAGTTCTTAGGTTTTCTCCCACTGGTAAAACCCCTATGCACAAACATTATTGATAAAAATGTACCAGATATTTGTCCTAAAATGACTTAGTTTGTTTTGAGTAGTCTATATGGTCATTGATTCATCATCTTAGGCATCACTGGACTGTCATAGATGCCAGATGTGGTTTTGATCCTACTATTGAGGAGTAAGGTCACTTACATTATAACTATGTGGGGTTTTAGCTAAAATGGCACAACTCTTTGAGTTTGTGTATAGTACTTGTACATTCAGTTATCCATCCAGTACGATAGAGATGTAAAAAAACACTGCAATCAAATGTCAGAATATAGAAAAAAGGGAAGTAACTTGTTTAATACACAAGAATATGAATGTATTTTTGTTTACAAATATATTGTAGTGTACCAGTAGAAGTATTGTCACAGTTATATCAAGACAACGGTTATGTATATAAACCTGCCATGCAGTGTGTTGATTGGTTAAAAGATTATTTTAATAAATCATCGGAACCTGGTACAGTCCCTCTTCCACCAGCATGTTTATCAATTTCTAAAAAAGGTAAGACCAAAATAATTTTAAATTATGCTGATATTTTCCTGTTAATTATGAATTCAGCATTTACTGTTGATCTAATTCCAAATCATGGGAGGAGGGGAGGCCGAATGGTTAGCACGTGCATGCCGTTTGGTCTGTCATTGAGTCAACTGGCAGGGTTTCGATTCCACCGGTTGTACGTGACAAGGAGTAGGGTCGCCTGTCCAACCTCGTGGGTTTTCTCTGGGTCCTCCGTTTCCTCTCGCTGCTAAATACCCCTACGCGCAAGTGAATTATTGAAATGAAATTGAACCATGTGTTAGTCCCAAAATGACCTAGTTTGTGTCGGTTGGACGTTAAACCCCATTTCTCTCTCTCTACAAATCATGGAAATAGTAAATATTTTGAAACTTTGATTCGTACTTGTCCTTGTATAATTTCACATATCTTTTGAAAGTATGGACGAAGCATATGACCAGAAGATATCAGATTATTACTGTTAAATGTCACGACTTGAAAGTGATGAACACATTTCATCCTTATTCTTTGATGTAACTTGATAAATTCTGACATACTTGAATTTATACCCGAGACATCCAGCCAGGCTGAATGGTTATCTCAGAAAATAGTAGAGGGTATTTATTTCCCATTCAGATTTCCGACTGGATAATCGTTGTGTGCTTGAAATAAGTTACATATCGGCCATCTATTTTATTCATTTAATGGCCACATCTGTATGTATATGCCAATTCATTTTTATAGTCCGATAATTTTTGGTAATTCTTGGCATTTGGGAATAAATTTTTAATAAAATTATCTATCCATTTTTTTTTCTAGGTTCATTCACATCTAAAGTATGGCAGACACTTCCTCAACTTGTTCCGTTTGGTCAGTCCATTTCCTATGGCAGATTGGCTGAGTTATGTGATAATCCCAAAGCTTGTCGAGCTGTTGGACACGCCATGTCAGAAAATCCTCTTATGTTGATCATGCCTTGTCATAGAGTTATTCAAACTGGGGGAAATTTAGGAAACTACCATAAAGGAACTCGGAACTCCATCAAAGTTTGGCTTCTAAAACATGAAGGCAACATACATTAGAATCATTGCGATATAATCAATTCTTTCATCACCATAGATCTATTGAGCAAAGTGTTATTTTATATTCTGTATATAAATGAATAGTATCTTTAAAGGGCAATCAAGTATATAGAAAGCTCACATCTTTGTTTAATCATCCTTGCTAATGGTACAGAGATTGTGCAGATTAATTTGATTTTATTTTACCGGTAACATTAAAATGAGGCGAAAGTCACAATTCTTCGTTTATGATAATCATATATGAACAAAAATGTCGAAATAGGTTAAAAGTAGAAAACAAATTTAGTTTGCTTTATTTGTCAAATATTAACTTTAACCTTCCGTTTTATATCATTAAAAATATATTTTTAACCTATTTTAACATTTTGGTTCATATCGTATAAGACTTTCGACTCAAAATTAATTTTGCAATCACAGGTCACATATTGCCAAGACTAGATAGTTTGCTTACAGTAGTTAATAGTTTAAATTAGAACACATTCCATGAGACGTCTTACAGCATATCAGTTGTATGTACATTCCCTGTATTAAAATAGGGCCATATGAATATATCTTTAGCGGCTTTGTAATATATTTGCAGCTGAAAAACAACTAGTATTTGTGATTCTGCTGATTTGACATATTCCCTGCTTCGGGTATTCCCTCCTGGTTAGAGTCGCCATACCTCTACTATTATCCATTAAAATTAAATATTGGTCCATTTCAATCAATATTGATGTTATTGTTAAGAAACATCTTAAAATCAGTGGTTTCGAATCCCTGGTTGTACGTGACAAGGAGTAGTGTCGCCTCTCCAACCTCATGGGTTTTCTCTGGGTCCTCCCACTGCTAAAGACCCCTACGCGCAAGCGAATTATTGAAATAAAATTAAACCATATGTTAGTCCCGAAATGACATAGTTTGTGTCGAGTGGACGTTTAACCCCATTTCTCTCTCTCTCTCTCTTAAAATCAGCGATCAATGTCATTTTCTATAATCCAGAGTACCATTTCTAATGAGGAGCGTTAATATGTGGTTTTTGACCTGTCATCAATTTTTAGGTTCCAATGGATATAGGTGTAGCTCCTTTAAATCATCAAAGAATTATACAACTGGTACAACTTTAGAGATTACAGTATTACTGTTATATAACCTATATTGTGTTACAGAGGTTTTTCTCTGAACATAAAACATTTATCCCTGCTTCACTGGAACAGAAATTTCAGCATTTGTTAAGTGTTAATTTGTTTTCAATGCTTTGTTGTAATCCAGATTAATAAATAAAACCTGTATGCTGTCATCTTTAGATTTATTGCTTTATTATATGTCATAATTTTTTTCTCTCATAATTAATGTGTAATTTACATAAATCATCATAAATAAAATAATCCATGTTTCAAATACATTTAATGTACAATTTTGCATGTATTTTGTTTAATAATGTTGAAATACATTTAAAAAACTTTCATTCGAATATTGAATGTCGTTTAGTTTATAAAAATGTTTAATAAGTAAACAATCCACATTGAGATTATAACATAAAATGAATAATTTCATATTTATGTATGAGAACTTAGATTAAAGATGCATTATATAAGATTTAAACAACAAGCTTAATAGTTTATAAATAGATGATGAAAAATGAATATATTGAAATTCAGAACAATTTATGAATGTTTGCAGTTTTGACAAGAATAGCTTTGTCTCGAAAAAGTCTTCTCGAAAAAGTCTTCCATTTTGGTGTTAACCTATTAAATGGCGCATGTGTTCTAATCCAACTAATATTGCATGGCCTAGAGAGTTGATTATGAGCTTGTCATGTTAATAAATATTTAAATAATAGTTTATATAACCTTTGAAGCCAGCTTAAAGACCTGCATTAGGCAGATTGAGCTTTTACATAATACATCTTTAATAATGCTTCAAGTACATAAATTCAGAAAATGAGTAGTGATTGTTGAATGATCTGTAATTGTTAATTAGTATTTTGTTCATTCCTTGTTACTGAATATTTACCCATAAAAAGCACAGATTACAAATAAAGCTTTTTAATTAATTCATTTTGATTTGTTCTAGATGGATTTTTTTAAGTGACTTAATTTGTGTGCCAGATATTTACTGCATTTTAAAGATCAGCAAGTTGGGATTTTGTAATTTCTTAAGGAACTGACAATAAACCTGCTCTGCTACCCTCAACAATTGAGTGACATGAACGATAATTTGGTGATGCATGGCACAAATTGAATAGCGTTTCTCTTTACAAGTCAAGGTTTTCTTCTTAGCTGCACAATCCCAGCGATCTTGGAAAACTAATCTAAAAAACAGACCTGTTGAGGTTTGTTTACAAGAATTGTGAACAAACGGGAATGAACACCATATTCTCCCACATGAAATGTTTGCATTCTCATCTGATTTTAGGTTAGTTTCAGCATTTCAGTAACATCTTAATATGGAACTGTATCATAGTCAAATCTAATGATGATGTAATTATTGATTTCACTGTTGTCAAAGTCAAAGATGTAATAGTTGTTGAAGATGAACAATCCCCAACTTCTTGGTTTCACCGCCCAGTAAATAAGACACGATTGCTCATGAACTTGGCATTGAAAATTGTACTTTTCACAATCTGCATTATTCTTCTTTTATTTTTAATACTTTGTAACATTTATTTTTAAATACACATATATATATCGATGTGAATAAGTCACATGTACAAGATTTCATATTGTCATAATGTCTTTAGCTGCTATTCTGGTAACTAAGGCATCTAGAGGTGACCAGGAAAATTCTGCATCAGTTAATTTATAAATCTGCAAAAAAAAAAATAATAACTCAACTACTTATACTAAATCTAAAACAACTGACCTTAGAATGTTTATAAGGTTTCAGTAACAGGGACAGAAATTCTACTAAAAGAAAACATTCTGTGAATCTATATTTCAACAGGGATCCTATTTGGGACCAACTCGACAATCCTGGCAAGATTAGTAGAGGCTTTACAAGGTTTTGGCAACAAGGGCAGTAACCCTAAAATTGTTGTGGAACTGAATTGGATCAGTGACAGGGGTATTAGAGGTTCTCCTTAGAACTTGCTGAACACCCTCAACAAGTTTCAAAATTAAAATCTGAAGTGTAGAGTTTTTACAAGCTTTCAGTAACAAAGACAGTAACTCTATGAAAAATAGTTGCATGACTTTGATAATGTTCTTTCTCAGGACATTCTGAACAACTCCAGCAAGTTTGGAAAAAAAATATCAAAACCCATGAAGCCTTGCCGTGAAAAATTATCCCCAGCTGAACAATTTCAACAAGTTTGAAATGAAAATCTTAAAAACTCTGACCTGTAGAACATGGGTTTCAGCATGAAAGCATGTGAATGCAAATTTTCTATTTCCATCCAACCAACCATATATTTCATATATACAGTATACTTACATCCAAAAGAATTATATCAAGAAAGGGGGGTTGGATGGCCGAATGGTTAGCATGTGCGCGCTGTATCATAAGGCCTGTCATTGAGTCAACTGGTATGTTTTCGATTCCCCAGTTGTACGTGACAAGGAGTTGAGTCGTCTGTCCAACCTTGTGGGTTTTCTCTGAGACCTCCGGTTTCCTCCCACTGCTAAAGACCCCTACGCACAAGCGAATTATTGAAATGAAATTAACCCATGTTAGTCCTGAAATGACCTAGTTTGTGTCGAGTGGACGTTAAACCCCATTTCTCTCTATATATATATATCAAGAAAAAATTGTTTACACCCCATCATTATTTGTAAAGTCTAATGAACTAAGTTTGAATTTACATATCTTTTCCACATGGTTTTTAGTAGTCTACAGTTTTTTTCTAGACATCAGTATATTTGGACATACCTTTTTTATATTGTTTAAATCTGACAGTTGCTTAACTTCATCTACATCAACCTGTTGACCTTTGACCGTGTTTTGTATAGCCTTCAATGTTTGACCTGTTTTATCATCTACAACAGCTATAAACACACTCTGATCTGTGTCACCTGCACCAAATTTACGAAAGGAATCTGAAATCTGAACATCAAAATTCATAATATAATGAAAGAGCTCAGTTTCGGAAAGTATAAAATTATGTTAATGGGATCAAAACTTGGTGATGGTGTCAACCTAGATATGTTAGAATTTTATCAAATCTGGAAGTCACTTATGCATTTTTATGACATTTTTTCACAGCCTGATTGTACTCAACTTGATTATTTAACCTATAATTAGGAAAACAAAATCAAAATATCAACATTCTTTGAATGGCATTTAGTAACTGGGACATAATCAAATAATATCGCCTGCACCCTATGCAGAATGTTGACAAATTGTTATTTCATTATACATATATCTTTGTAAATATCGAACAGAATTTCACTATTTATGGAATGATATAATTCCTTTCAAAGATTCAACTGGGGGAAAGTTAAACACCATTCTATTTGATATTTAATTCATAAAAATTTCAGTTTTTTAAAGCCTTAAATTGTCTATTTGTTGGGAGTGATCTGTAGGCTGAGAATAGGAGCTACATGTCATAACTCTTGACGGGAAGCTGATGTTCACATGAAAGTTTAAGTCTAGGAAGATCAGACATGGGTCCGCCTGCATCAATGAAAGAACATCAGGGAATAAAATATCATTTTGTATTAAAAGCAACCTACATTTTTTGATGGTGATAAATTAAATAAGATCTCAGAGTGTACATTTTTAGTCATCATTTTACCAACTTTATTTTGATGCACAGCCTTATTAGCAGCTACTATAACCTGAAATGGGTCAACTATCTGAAATGGAAAATATCATATCAAATGTTCATTTAGTACAAATGCTGGATAAAATGATTATTTATTAAATAAATGATTATTTATTAAATAAATGATTATTTATTAAATAAATGATTATTTATTAAATAAATAAATAATTAATAAAATAAAATAAATGATTATTTATTAAATAAATGATTATTTATTAAATAAATAAATAATTAATAAAATAAAATAAATGATTATTTATTAAATAAATGATTATTTATTTGATTGAAATTAACTTTTTCAAACTTTGTTCGAAATATATTTTGTCTTGGACTTTTAATGTAAATGCAACGGCACAGAAAACTGACATTTTAAAATGCAAAAAAGAATACTCATTATGACATTGCATCAGCATCATTCATAGACCTAGACCTATTGTAACATAAATTCCTAAGTTATACTCTAACCTTTATTCTAAATCTAATGCATTGAACATTTTCGTTTCAAGAGACCTTATTTTATTAAAAAAAAAAGACTGATGCCAAATTATGGACTATGAAGGATACCGTAGTCAATCCGTAATTTTACTTTCTAAACAATATTTCACCACGACCATGCAACTTTATTGATATTCACAATCCAGTAAACAGAACTAAGGCTAACCATAGATGTTTTTAATATTGCTGCTTCAAATGTTCCATTCATTACACACTGTCTAATCTCTTTCACATTTTCGACATTTCTAAATAAAGCTAAAGTTATTGTTGAATCGGGGAAAAGTTCATTCACAATCACTTTGGCCGCCATGTTCGTGGGAGCAGTTATTGCCTTTCTTGCTAAACAAAACAAAATAGATATAGAGGAATTGTGTAATTCAATTAGACATATCATTATAATTAGTATAAAGTATGAAAAGCAACAACATATCAGAATATAATTTGGGTGATATGGTTGCACACATTTTGATGTTTTACATTTGGTAACATAACTGGCCCCAATCTCTTGTCAGCGAAGTTATTTTTGGTTTTGCGGGGTGAAAACATGAGTTGGAAAAGAAACCCTTACCGTTTTCTCCAGCAGGTGAGGAAATACGGTGTTGGAGTAGTAGCAGCCAGCACAGTGGCTGTTGTAGGAATTTGTATATATGTGAACAAGAAGAATGATTTTAAAGTATTTGCCTCGTGGACCAATTTGTCAGAACAATTAGAGTACCCCAAAATAAAATGGGATAACAATTGGGACAGGTAAATTTATTAGCGAAACGACTTGTTTCCTTCCACGATTTTTGCTTTTAAGAATACAGCTTAGTTGCACGAAAGACTTACCATGGGGACCAAATATATTATTATCAGTGTCTCAGAGTCACCCTTTGTAGATTGTATGGTAAAATAAGCTTTTGCATTTAGTAAATAATTTCCAAGGCCTGCAAATTCATTGTTAGCCAGATTCAGTGTTGATTAAGTTCATAATTAAGATTATAGATCTTTACCTATATAATTTATTTATTTTATATTCCAGGAGAGATCCCAAATTACTTGTAAAACCTATGAAAGATGAGAATAATAATGATGTGAATGATGAGGATGTGAAGAAACAGACACCAACAGCAACAAGACATATAATATTAATACGTCATGGACAGTATAATCTCAATGGGGAAACTGATGAAGAAAAATATCTTACTGACCTAGGTGATTACTGTTCTAAACCGAGAATTTGACTAATTATCCTCCTTTTTTCTAAGAAAGCAGGGCTTATTAAAATGGGTTTGTCGCTCAGTCAAACTTTTTGGAACACACTAACTCTTCTTCTGACACCATAACTTTGATCCTAATGGACTAAAAAAGGTAGAATGTTCAATCTTGGGCCCACCTCCCTCTCCCTATCCAAAAATTGCTGGATCAGTATCAGAACTTCTCCGGATTATATATCTGTTTTAATATGTTTAATGTTATTTTTATCTTTATTTTGTTTAGGTCGAAAACAAGCTGATTTAACTGGAGGTAGATTAAAAGAGTTAGACTTCCCCTACACTAGACTTGTATCCTCAACGATGACCCGAGCCATAGAAACATGTGATTTAATCCATAAGTTTTTACCTGATTTAACTGTTGAAAGGAACGATTTATTAAGAGAAGGAGCTCCTATACCTCCAGAACCACCTGTCGGCCATTGGAGACCAGAAGTCTATGTGAGATTAATAGAATATAGGTTTTATTAGGATCTTAAAAGATGGGGTTATTTATGTTATAATGATGTTTTTGTGTTTAATACTATAACACATACGGGTTAGGTTTAGTCAGTGTATTCCAACATCCAATTTGTGATAGGCGGGGTGGGTGACCATTCTGATGTATATTTTGGTGCTACCCGAATACCTTATGTAGGATAGACTAAATCCTTTTTACTATTCAAAACTCTGATTCATTGCTCAATGTGATGTAAATTCTGACAAATATTTTAGTGCTACCGGATAGACTAAAACCTTTTTACCATTCATGACTGATTCATTTCTCGATTTGATTGTTCTCTGAAACACTACTATTTGGGGACCAGTTATTGACTCACAGTGTTTATTGTTTATGGATGTTGGTCAGATTTTCTGGCAGGGCTCGCGCCGTCGGTCGCAATTTGCAAAATAACCTTGAAAATGATGAATTAAAATTTACTTTGACAATAGTCCTTGTAATAATCTTTTAGTTTATTGATGATTGTATTTGTGTGAAATATGATGTTTTTCTGAAATTACTACTGATAAAAGAATAGCATACATGCACATTTACGACAATCAATGACCTTCAGTTTGAAAAATAACCCTGGAAAAATTTTCCTTCTTGCAGCACTTTCAAATTGCAATTTAGCTGTGGACAAAATCCCAAATATATTAATGTTATTATAGTGTGGAACAAATTCGTAGGCTTTCTTTATATAAAACTCAGACAGTGCCATTTCTTATTTATATTCAGCAGTTTCATCGAGATGGTCAAAGAATTGAAGCAGCCTTCAGACAATTTATTCACCGTGCTACACCAGAACAAAAAACCGATAGTTATGAGATTATAGTCTGTCATGCTAATGTTATTAGATATTTTGTTTGCAGGTTTGTACATGTATTTGATATATTCTGTCTGTTAAAACTATTCCTACACAGATTGGTGAAAGAAAAAGTGAATCTGTAGCAAAATTGTCTCCCCCTGATGTGTCAGGGGACATAATTCTGATATGAAATTATTGTTTTCTTTCAATGCTTTCTCATAATGCCATAATATTTGAATAAAAATATTTGAACATGTACTTTACTTTATGTCATGCCTGACATTGGTGTAAGTATTATGGTTTCAATCTGATTATACTCAACAACAATTAGGGTATTAATAGGGTTGCCCAATGAACTTAAATGTTTCTCGGTGGTCTCTGCCCCCACCCCCAAATTATTGAAATAATGATATAAAAAACTATACATGTATGTTAGTGTTAGTTCTTAAAGTAGCCAAGTCTTTGACTCGATATCATCCACAGTCTTTAACATTGCAAACAGTGTTTGCAGCAAACACCACTTATTGGTCAAATTAAATCAACATTGATGTTATCTCTTGAAAAAATGGGCTTCTGATATCCAATAAAAGTTTAAACTTGGCACACGAATCGCATGCCATAATGCTTTTGTGTGCCATTTGTAATGCAGGGACTCGATGAACAAAGCTAAACATATCTCACAAGGGAAGACTACGAGAGTAGACTGGAATAACCAGTCACCAAAGACTCACATTAAATTTGCACAGCAAAAACAGAAATGAGTGAATGTAAATCAGTTTTTATACATTCATATTACATTATTATATGTGTTGCAACCCATTTGTGTCCATTTCTAGATGCCAAATATTAGTGATTTAGCTCCTTTAAATAAACTAGTCTGTGTTGAGAAGACTTAAAATCCCATCTCTCTTTTAATTGTTTTCAAAGCAAACAATACACACAACAAAATGGTTATGATTCAATGAATTAATCTTTAACTATTTACTTTTCAGAGCTTTACAATTCCCTCCAGATGGTTGGCTACGTTTATCTTTAGCTCATGCCAGTTTAACATGGATAACGGTACGGCCTAGCGGTCGTGTTAGTTTACGTTGCTACGGTGATTCTGGGTTTATGGAACCAAATAAAGTAACCTATTCTTGATGATTGTAGTATTAGAATGAATTTTTTGTACTGATAAATTTACTGATTATTAAATTTATACCAGTTTTCAACTAATATTAACTTATTATTCCAACAAGACATACAGAAATTAGAAGAAAATGCAAGAAATTGAATTGTAAATAAAAAAAAAGTGACAATATTAGAATTCAAGTCTCTGATTCTACAGAAATGCTTATACAAATGGTGTGCACTGCATTAAAAGCATAATAAGCCAGATCGTTAGCATATATTTCAAAAGTGTCTGCAAGCAAGAATAATACTACATCTGGCATCTAGCTGCTGTGGCATCAAGTTTTTCTTCAAAACAACAGTTGGTTATTGTTGTTTGTTCATTTTGCCAAACCCAACTACAATTTAGCATGTAATTATAAATGACATGGACACAAACATCTCTTAAATTTGAAGAGGTTATGCTGTAACTAGTCAGACATTTTCATTTAACGTGAAAACATCACAAAGGTAGAGCCAAATATGCCATTGTAAAATAAACTCATCCTGTTGTCCATATAGTAATAATAATAATAGTTTATTTTTATATAGTGTTCTACACAATTCGTTTCAGAACCGCTTTACAAGAGTTAAAAATTGGGTGATAGACATAATCACAAAATCAAATAAAAATATAATGTATAAGATACCTATATAAATGATAATAAAATAAAATAAAATGAGATATAAGTTAAAACGTTAAATGAAAATGATGAGAGATAAAGTGAGATATTTAAGTTAAAACATTAATTATTATAAAAGCCATCCAATTATTATAAGGTACAAAGTGAAAATTTTAGGGTAAAAGTTGCCTGCTGAATAAATGGGTTTTAAGACCACGCTTAAATGAACTTAGTTCCCTTTGCTGACGAAGATGTTGTGGGAGGTTATTCCATAGGTATGGCGCTATGGTTGAAAAGGCTCGCCATCCGTAATTTTTATTGGTGTGTTTGGTGTCTGTTCTTACGAGAGCGTAGAGTTCGGAATTATCAGATCTTAAGCCTGACCTTCCAGGAGTGTACAATTGAATCAGATCACGCAAATATACAGGTGCCTGATTAGATAAACACTTGTGAACTAATAATATAATTTTGAATTTTAAGCCAGTGAAGGTCATAAATGATAGGAGTGATACTCTCTCTACAGTTTACTTGTGCTACTAAACGAGCTGCCGAATTTTGAATTGATTGTAGTCTGTCTAGTTGATAGTTGGGGATGCCAATAAGTAAGCTGTTGCAGTAGTCCAATTTACTAGTTACAAATGCATGAATAAGTTTCTCAGTTTCTAGGCGATTTAGTAGTGACCGAATTTTAGCAATTTTGTACAGTGAGTAAAATGCAGATCGGCACAGTTGTTTACTTGTGATTTCATGTGACCGTTGTCGTCAAATAGAATGCCTAGGTTTCGTACTGAAAACCATGGGCTTATATACACCTCACCCATTTTCATAGTTTCCAGGTTTTCGGCTTCTTTCTTGAAGGAAGATTTAAAATGTGTGTAGGCCTACATGTACATGTCAGTGCTTTTAAACGTACGTTAACTATGAGTGAACTTCCATGGCTGAATCATTAAATCGGGGGAAAACACCCGCTTGATCAATTTAACTGATAATTTTTGCAGTTATTTCCCTGCTTTGGGTTGTGTAATAATGTTCAATCTTATTTTAAAGAAGTTATAGGCATTAATAAACAAAATGAGTTTTCAAGATGAAACTATAAGGGCACCAATCTTAGCTCAAAGCAAGCACATAGAAATATCTTTCAATGTTTTTAGCGACATTCATGTAGCCATGGTTTAACTATCTACTGCACCACACCCTATTATAAGGTAGGCCTACTGTCGCTTGACAGGTAGGTGCTTATTTTAATTTTTTTCTCCCATTTACATAAATTTTTAAATTTAGATTTTGTCTAGCTCACGTACAAGGTAGCTGAAAGGGTTCGACAATTAGTATTAACATAGTTTTAATGCACGAAGGTACATTTAAAAAAAAAAATTCTGAAAATTGGGCAGTTTTAATCCACAAATGACATAAAAAACGAGATAAAATCGAAAATCTTGCATGCTGGACCTTCTTACAAAACGACAATTCATTTTTCAAGAACGGAATGCAAAGCATGTGTTAGCTGTCATATTTTTCGTAAATGTTACCGATGGCTTCAGCTGTCAAAGTTGCCGGTTATATATGGTGTGTTTAAATTACACATACGCCCACCTTTGAACCGGCCGCTGTGTTCACGGGAGCAGTTATTGCCCGTTGACTTTCGTATCTCCATATCTGCGGTCAAAAATATTAGGGTTGACAATGGGTAGGTAAGCCTACCATGACGTTTATGATTAAAATATGTTACAAAAAAAAAAAAAAAAAAAAAAAATATCAATGAATGTAACTTGGGCGATTGATGTTTATATTTTGGTGTGTGACATTTGGAAACTTAGTAAATGAACTGCTCCCGATCATCCTAACTATAGTCTAGTTATTTTTAGCGTGAAAACATGAGTTGGAAAAGAAACCGTTACCGTTTACTCCAGCACGTGAGGAAATACGGTGTTGGCGTAGCAGCCAGCACAGTGGCTGTTGTAGGAATTTGTATATACGTGAACAAGAAGAATGATTTTAAAGTATTTGCCTCGTGGACCAATTCGTCAGAACAATTAGAGTACCCCAAAATAAAATGGGATAACAATTGGGACAGGTAATTTATCAATCAGCCTGTGACAGTACTGACGGCCTTAGCCGTCCCAGTACTTGGTATTGGTAGCCGGGGGCTAGGTGGGTAGATGCTGGTTCGCTAGCCTGAGGTCGATCCCAGCATTGGCCGAGAAAGTTTATCCAGATTTTCCAGGGTGGTTCCCCCTTGTCAGTGCTACAGGACGGATGGCCTGAAGGACAGCTGTCTAGTCGTTCTGATGGGACGAAAACCCGAGGTCCTGTGTATACACTCTGTTGTGCACGTAAAAAATCCCTTGACAGTTGAAATTCGATAGTAGTATTAGTAGGCAGTAATGCTGCTGTCCGGGCAAAACAAACAAATAAGTTTTTTGAAATCTTTACTTATAAGCTTATTATAATCTGGAAGCATGCAATTTACCCAATAGCCTACTACCAAATATCACGATATAGGCTAACTCCCAGAATTAGCAAAAATTGTATTGGAAACTTAAAACCAGGAATATCTATTAAATTAATCCATTTCATATTTCAGGAGAAACTTAAAATTACTTGAAAAATCTGCATTCATTATATTTCAGGAGAGATCCCAAATTACTTGTAAAACCTGTGAAAGATGAGAATAATAATGATGTGAATGATGAGGATGTGAAGAAACAAACACCAACAGCAACAAGACATATAATATTAATACGACATGGACAGTATAATCTCCATGCGAAAACCCAGAAAGAAAAATATCTCACTGACCTAGGTAATAAACTTGTTTAGTTTGCCTCTTCATGGTACATCTATATCTATTTTTATTTCAATAATTTAATGGAGTTTTTAGCAGGTGGAGAAAACTGGAAAACCAAGAGATAGCCCACAATGTTAGGCAAGTGAGTCGTGACCCCATTTCTCAATCAGGCCAGATAACTATATCATAAAGTGTGAATTAATTACAACCTTATGGTCTAAAGTGTATCAGTTAGAAAAGGCCTTTCTTAAAGGTCAGTGATTAAGGTGCCCTTTTCACTAACCGTTGTTAGCCGAGAAATTTCTCCTGGATTTTCTTGCATGGTGTCTCCTTGGTGTAGGACAGAGGGCCAGGCAAGGAACAATGTCTAGTTGTTCAGAAGGTACACCCCCCCCCCCCCCAAAGTCTTGTGTACATATTGCATGGCGTGCACATAAAAGAATGGCATATGCTCGTCTTCATTCCAGTCAGTACAGAAAAGTAGAATGGTATAAATCCCCATTTTATTTCATGTGATTTCTTAGAGGCCTATCCAAGTACTTATGATGTATATTTCAAAAAAGTATTTGAAATCTGCAATCGTTCCAAACATCCTGCTTTTTTATGCCAATTGGGCTAAATAAAATTGAAATAAAAATACACCATATATTAGTCCTGAAATGACCTGGTTTGTGTTTGACCTTTGGACCATAAACCTCTTTTCTCCCTAGACATTTGCAAAAACATTTTCAGCTATAAATGGTTCAACAGTCAACAGCAATCAAAAACTTATGATATTTGTTGCCAAGATCAAATTGTCCCTTGATTGGACTATATGCAGGTTTACTTATATTGTTATTTAAAAATTGTCTTTCAGGTATTTTAGGTCCATATGTAACAGTTTCAGCTATCCAAATTTAGAACTTGCTATCATAAATGACTTAAATGAATATGTATGTACTGTGTTTTGGATTTAATTGATATAATTCATAACTTAAATAAATTACGTGGTAAATTAAAAAATATTTATTCATAATTTGTTTTTCTCATGTACTGTAGGTCGAACACAATCTGATTTAACTGGAGCAAGATTAAGAGATTTAAACTTTCCTTACACCAGACTAGTATCATCTATGAAGACCCGAGCCGTAGAAACATGTGATTTGATTCATAAGTTTTTACCTGATTTAACTGTTGAAAGAAGCGATTTATTAAATGAAGGTTTTCCTATACCTCCAGAACCACCTGGTGATTGGAGACCAAGAGATTATGTAAGATAATAGATTTAATTAATCCTCCTGTACTATTTTAGTGTAAAGACTGTTGTTCTAATTGTATGTAATTAAGTACATTTATTACTTTATATATACATGTAAGTAGATTCCAATGTAAACCTCAAATGAAAATGAAATGGGGTTTAATGTCCTATCGTTCTGCACAGATTTGGCTAATGAAGACATGCATTTCCCATACAATATGCTACTATGGAAGGATAACGTTGCCAATATTATTTCAATGTTCACTGTACAAACTGCATATGTCAGCAATTCAAAATACCTATTTTAGTTTTACAAATTGCAATTTCCATTCCTCCACAATACCATTGTTACAGTGTTAAAATACAAAGTACACTTTTCAATAATACAAATACAGTATAATAGTTATTTTGCACATTACACTTCTCCGTTCTGTATTTTGCATAAGAGACAAATGCATAATAGAACTTGGCATATTAGAACATATACCTTATATGGGATCTACGACGAAGCTCATTTGCATACGGAATAAAGTCCGGACTAGGACAGAAATTAATAATTTACGCGATTCGAATCCTCGGTTGTACGTGACAAGGAGTAGGGTCACCTGTCCAACCTCGTGGGTTTTCTCCGGGTCCTCCGGTTTCCTCCCACTGCTAAAGACCCCTACGTGCAAGCGAATTATTGAAATAAAATTAAACCATATGTTAGTCCAAAAATGACCTAGTTTGTGTCGAGTGGACGTTAAACCCCATTTCTCTTTCTCTCGTAGTGTTGATTGTAGTGTGTAATGAACTCACTATTGAAAGAATAGCATCCATTTACAGTAAACATGGTGTTCTGGTGCAGTCATTTTGTGTCATAGAATAAGTGTTGGGCACCTATCAAAAGCCCAGCTTGGGCATGGGCCAAATGTTTAGGGGGCAGCGCCAGCGTGGTTCATAGCAAAAAGAGAAAAAAAAACTAATAAATTCCAGATAAAAGTTCCACTCATCAGTTTAACGGCATGATGGGTGGAGACTGGGTAAGTCTGCTATCCCTCAACCTTCTCTGTAATTGGTAGAAAACCGTGATGTAGGCGACCACTCGTATGCTAATTGTGAGCAGTTTCAAAAGGATATAAAATAATTTTTTTGTAACGGTAGGGGCCGGGCCGCGATTCTACTCTGGTCCAGGGCCCCGCACCGTTTAGGCTGTACTTTGAACCTATCTCTTGAGTTCCTTATTTATTTAATTTTATTTTGTATTGTTTCTTTGCTTTCTATAAGTATCTTCAGAATATACCTTTTTCATTTATATTCAGCTTTTTTATCAACATGGTCCAAGAATTGAAGCAGCCTTCAGACAGTTTATTCACCGTGCTACACCAGAACAAAAAACAGATAGTTATGAGATTATTGTCTGTCATGGTATGGTTATTGGTTATTTTGTTTGCAGGTTTGTATTTGATTCATTCTGTCTGTAAGCACGATCTGTAACAGTTTCAGTGGTAACTTCTCTCTCATTTCCATCTCTGTTAAATGCATGTCTCTGTTGCTATAAATAGACATACTACATACTTTGGTATTGAAATAAGGTGAACTCATTATCTGTCTTAGTTCTATCTATAAATTAAACATACATTATGCAAGAGCAAAATCTGCCTATTGCAGGTCTTTCTTTAGGCCTGAAATGTTATAAAAACTATTAATTAGACATTAATTAACTTATCCAGACCATAATGAACTCTAGATGGTTATGCTAGCCTGCGATATTTGTTGGATTATAGTCCGATTTGCTGCAAAACTTTCCTTCGTGATTAACGATTAAATGGATAATCGAGACTATTAGGTTTGTCTTACCGACTTCAGTAATGATGATCGAGGCTAAGCGGAACTTTCATCCGCTTAGTTCTCGGTTCATATTGGATCAATTTGTCTGAAATTTTCAGAAAATTGCCTTTACATTATGTAGTTTTTAACTATTATAGTGAGAACTACCAACTTGTTACCGAATCTCCCATAATGTATCTTTAAAATGGGGGGTTTAACATCATACTTTTGCACTGATTAGGCTAATGAAGACAGGCATATACTACACAGTGTGCTATAAGGGAAATATTACCCGGACAGCGGCACAACAGTCCACTCTTACTTCGAATTTACACTGTCTTGCCCATGTGTACACGGAACCTTGGATTTTCATCACATCTGAATGACTAGACAATGTTCCTTGTCTGGCCCACCACCCTGCACCACTGGCAAGGGGGAATCGTGCCCGAAAATCTTGAGGATCTTTCTCAGCCAACACTGGGACGATCCTGAGATCTTCTGGTCTTTCTCACTGAGTAATGTCGGCTTCCTAGTTCTATCTATGACACTAGAAAAAAATCATTGAACATCGAATTATTCTAAAACTTCATGTTTGGCTAATCAATCCGGATATATAGCATTTTTTTAAAAAATAGATTTCAATACATATTTCACGTAAAATGCACCACATAAATGTATAGATGGCATATCAGACATCAGACAACTATGCCATTGCACAAAATCTGTTTATTCACCCATCTGTCATTTGTCATTGACACTTGTTTTAAGCCGAAAAAGATATAATAATCCATATACCTGCTATTTAAATAAATAAAAAAAAAAAATTGAATTTTTGAGTTTATATCAGCTATGTAATAGTTATATTGTCAATGCATAATTTATTTTTCAGAGCTTTACAATTCCCTCCAGATGGTTGGCTACGTTTTACTTCCTCTTTAGCTCATGCAAGTTTAACATGGCTAACAGTGCGACCTAGTGGCCGTGTTAGTTTACGTTGCTATGGTGATACTGGGTTTATGGAACCAAATCAAATAACCTACTAATGATGATTGTGGAATTGTAACCCTTTTTTTATTGAGAAATTAACCGATCATTTACTGGAGTCGTACTTCTTTGATTTAGGTCTAAAACTAAATATCATTAATATCTTAAAGTGGTTTTAATCTGCACTGTAAATTTGAAATGTCGACAGATCCACACCCTTTAAAACAAATCAACACATCAAATATAATTACATGTATATCAATAATTTTGTTGTTGCTCTAAACGATGTTTGTTTGTTGAAGTTTTTGACAAGAAATAGCCTTAATTGATGGATAGAAACTTGGCCCACAGTTCATACTTTCCATGGTCAAGTACCATTGCCATAATAAACAAAGTCCTGATTGTCAGTCCATTTATTGCCAATCCATTTATTGCCAATCCATTTATTGCCTATCTTGGGCCAACCTGTCTGGATATCATCCTAGGTTGAAGCTAGCCTTAATTTATGTAAGCTTATGGCAATCATTGTCTAATCCACTCGATATAAAAGCCATCTGATGGTGTAGAGAGTTGATTATGGGCTTGCCATATGAATAAATCTCTAAATAATAATTTATATAACAATTAAAGCCACCCTGCAAAAGTAATTTTAGTAATTTTTATCTGATATTTTGTTTTATCTGGACTATTCTAGTCTATTAGTTACTAATGTTTTTATACGCCCACATTTTCATGTTTATATATTTATATACCAAGTTTTATAAAGATCTATATATTTGATAGTATTGATGTCATATCCAATGGTAACTGAATGTTTTGTACAGCATATTAGTTTTATAAGTATTGTATAATAATTATTGCCTGTGACAGAATTAAAGTCTAAATTTATGTTGTGTTTTTAACGAAAGACGGTATTATGACTTAATATCCATTATGAAAGAGTAGAATTCAGATATTCATGGCGTTTTTGGTGGCTTTCATATTTCTACCACCGACCTCCAATTTGTTATTTCAAATGAAAGAAATATTGAGAATTTTAATGCCTCTGGGAACTGGAGGTACCGATTTTTAAAGCATCACCAACTTCCTGTAAGAAGGCGAAAACACATCTCACAGAAATTCCCGAGTCTTGCAGAATTCCAGAAATTGACCATCAACCTCCGGAAAACAGAGGATTATGATATGCCGCAAATAGGAAATGCTGACCACACCCGCTTACCCGCCACCCGCTCTTAGACCGTGAACATTCGTATAGAGAGAGGAGTTTTACATAGGCTAAGCCTGTTCCTCAATCCCATTCAGATATCCTGGATAAAAAATATTGTTTAAAAAAGAACAAAAAAAAAAAAACCCCAAAACCTTCACACCACTGGTAATGAAAAGAATCGGTTTACTGTAATGTTAACATATGCCGCCGATTGAGGCAAATTAACACCCTATCTCATGTTTAATTGGAGAACTACCAAAGAACATGAAATTCACAAAATTGTTCTTATTGCGTTTCCAGGGGAAAAGATAAATAGACGAAGAATCAACTATCGAATGGTAGAAAGCGGGCTGGCTGACGCGTCCAGTTGGGTTATTAAAACCTTGGGCTGTCCGTATATACAGTCTATGTTACAACCATGGAGGTGTATATACACCTCTATGGTTACAACAGAGAGTCGTATTGGATGCAATGAGCGGCAACGGAACCGACCAGGTAAAGAACGTGTTCAAGTCAAAAAAAATACAGATCTCGCCATTATTCCTGACAAAATGGGCGACCTTCGGTTATAATTTTTTCACGACTAGTGGTCGGAACTAGAAACCGAACGCGAATGGTCCGGACCATCGTCTGTTCAAAGATGGCTGCCCCCAGGGACATGGTGATGTCATTTTACTTTGCTTTAGACCTCGAGCATAACCCTGAAAAAAACTTAACCCCAAGGAAGGTCTATACATCTCTCCATGGAGGATAACGAATCGCTGTGTTACATAGTTTCATAAACAAAAATTACTTTCATGAAGTTAAACGAATCAAACTAATTTTAGAGACGACAAAATTCCTTGTAACTTGACTTTACTTTTTGCATAGCGCAAATATTGCAATAATGCGTAATTTTTAGATTTACATAGATTCAGACATAACACACGAGACAAAAATATCTGCTCATAGAAGTAGCAACCATTTAAAATACATTCAAGCTTTCTTAAAATCATATACTTAACAAAAATAGATTCTTTCTACATATTCTACACTTTCGTTTTCTTGACACCGCCTTCTTGGAACTACTCCAACCATGCTACAATAGCATGGTTCAGTATTTTCGGACTATGGTCCGGTCTAAATGAAATTCGGATTCAGTTAGTTCGACCATAGTCAAGAAATCACGATAACCGAAGGTCGCCCTAAATTCCGATGGAGAACATACTTACACCAATGGCGGACATCAGAACCCAGAATTAGATGTAATTACAGGATGGACACTAAAAACATGGAAGATTAGTAAGAAGTGCTCAATTGATTTCGAACGCGATGGATGGCACAAAGGGCGAAATTTTATTTTATGGATTTTGCGCCTCGCCTAACCCCTAAATTTATTCCAGAAAAAGGTGACATATTATATGCCGACAACAGTATACAAATTTGGGGAATGAATATATTCCAAAAAAATGAAGCCGAAGAAGAGTTTGGAGGTTTTTATCACCGCAGATCTTGACTAAATGATCCAAACTTAAAAGGCAAGTCGCCAACTCTGTATCATTCACAGGCTTCGACATTGCGAACACGACTTATTGGGCTTCTGATATTCAATATTTAAGACAAAATGAAAATTTTAAAATTGGCACATGCAAGAATCGCGTGCCAGAATGCTTTCGAGTGCCATTTTTAATGAAGCGACTCGATGAACGAGGCCCGGCATTTTAAGGCATTATCCCTCCCAGTACATATCAAAACAGTTGTCCAAGGGCCACCCATACATTTATTTAAAGATGTACAGTGCAAAAATTAATGTCTTACTAATTTATGAAATGATCATTTTATAGCAGGATTATCAAATCTCCCAGCTGTTTAAGACCCCCCCCCCCCAACCCAGTATACCCCAGACCACTCTATAAAGGCAAAACAGTTGTGCGAAGGCTTCTTGTCTACGATATCACCTTAGGTGGAAGTGGACGTAAAACTCTAGGAATGAACGAACGCAAAGGCTTCCTATACATTCATTTAGAGATGTACAGTGCTAGACATCTAGAAATTAATGTTTACTTAACTACAAGATGACCACAATTTATATCACCATTATCACATTTCGACAAATTTTACACATTGGAGACAGCCCCCCCCCCACCCTATGTTCATCACCCAGAATCGAAATCGACGCAAATAAAAAGAGACTAGAAAAACATGGTCTTTTAAATTCTTCAAAATCGCAGAGTAATTATTTATGGTCAGTTTATGCAAGTCAGTAAGTTTTGTGTTCTTTTTATAACAAAAGAACAGTAAACCCCCGCCAATCAGATCGCCTTAGAATTGTGTAAAGAATGCAATACTTTAATGTCAAAGGTCAAACATTTCTATAGTTTGAAAAAAATTTGCATCTTCACTTAGAAGAATGTTAAATTTGACGTCAAGCAGATTAAATTTGTATGACGTTGCGACAAAATGAAAGTTCTTTGCTGAATGAAGTGTCTGTGAATGTCGGACATGTAACCAATGTTTAAAACTGATCAATATTTGTTTGCTCTGAGATTAAACTTATGAAAGTATTTGATTGTACACAAACTTGTCTTTGGCGACCATCGGATTCTTTGAGAACATGGCAGAGGAGTTTATTTTTTTTGCCCACATGTAGACAATAGATTTCTACCAACTTACATGTGTATCAATTCACTCTCACTGTTTTCTGCTATTGCATGACAAATGTTTGTGGGTCTAGAATTGAAGACAGGCGTATTCGGGAAAACCCCTCTGAAAATTAAGCTACAACCCGTGTCACGTGAATAATGTAATCAAATAATTGTGACATGGTGGGTTCTTTATGGTTATTTTATAAAGATTGTGATTTTGATGACATGATAATTTCGCAACATTCGACATTACCAGCAGACGATATGAGCAAGTCAGTGCCACCTACATATATACAAGTGTTGGGTAAAATCTTTTGATAGGACCCTTTTAAATCCGATTGAATCAAAGTCTTTTTTTTTACTTTTAAGTATTTAAATAATTACTTGGTGTGTAAATTTTAGCTTGGATTAACCACACAAAGAAATAGACATTGTCCGAAGAATGCAAATATTATAGACCGAGCAATGGAATAAACAATGAATTTTTGGTCTAAGACCTGCTATGTTCGCAGATTGTCTCCCTTGAAAGGTAGAGTTTCTGCACGACATGTTCGTTATACTAATCAATAAATTGACTGAGGAGGTAAACAAAGGTGACAACAATTCAACACATTAACTGAATGGCTTTCATTTGTTTTAATCATTATGACACACTCTAATCACCACTGACAAGATACAACGGTGTTAATTTCGCATTTATTTACCAACACGCGCGCTTAGCTGCTAAATTTACCTGTCCTCAGGTAACAGTCCCTTTGATCTAAATGTGTTAACTATGCTAGTTTAGGGCCACATGACGCTTGGTATGCACGAATAAGGTCAAGCTGAACAACAAACCTGGGTGACGGTATTATGTAGCAGACGTTCAGGATCTTTTACGACGGTGATATAACAAAGCTATTGTGATATATCTTCTTACCGTTATGTGAAATTTACCGGAGTAAAAAAAACGAAGTATTTATCAACAAGAATCGAACTAAAAATGTCGGACGCGTCACCAGACGATTCTAAAATTCAAATTGTGGAAAGTGAAGGGGAAAACAAATCGTACAAATATCAGTTCACTTACGAGCGAGCTACTTTATATGAATATAAATTTGAACGAAAGGCTGTTCCCGACGCCAAGGATCCGTGCTTTAGATGTAACAAAAGAGTTCCCAGGAAAGAACAGATCGGAATTGAGGAGTTGCTGTTTCACAAGCAGTGCTTTAGATGTCGTATTTGTGGATTACCGTTGTCGTCACAAACGTATCATCGTAATCCAGTTAATGGATCGAACGATAATGAAGTTTATTGTAAAACACATGTGGGTAAAACAATAGGAGAAATAAAAGGACAGCAACAATTGCATATCACCCATAATGATTCACCTAATAACAATAATGATAAATACGACATACAGGTGAGTTATCGTTATCTATGATTATTTATTTATGTCATGCTGTGAATCATTATCATATCATTTCTTATATGAGATCTGACTCTATCCCGGTATTTCAAAAGTCACGTTAAAAGTTGACGTCCGAATTTACTGTCTGAACATTTTATTTATTTTATGGCGTGATCATTATTATGACTTGTTAATATGCCCCCCCCCCCACACACACACACATATACACACACTAGCAATTGTTTTTAGACTTCCGTATCGTAGTATTTTAAAAGTCCTGTTATAAAGGAACCTTGAAGTTAACTGTTTAGTTTAAAGTAGCTAAGTCTCTAACTCAATATCATCCAAAATCTTCAACATTGAAAACACAAATTATTTGTCAATTTAAATCAACATTGATGCTGTGATCTTACCGGAAAAAGATGGGCTTCTGATATCCAATATTTAAGACAAAATAAACATTTTACCATTGGTACACGAATCGTGTACCATAATGCGTTTCAGCCCCAGTTCTAGCAAGAGACTCGAGGAACGAGTCTAGACATATTGCACCAAACCAAACGGCCTATGTAGACTGGAATAACCAGGCGCTAGAAATTTGCATTCGATTGAGACTGCTGGCTTGTTTCGCGGAACATAACTGATTTGAAATTAGAGTAAAAACGGAAACCATTGAATGTATATCAGTTTATATACATTCATATTACAGTATTATATGAGTTCCGACCCACTTGTGTCAATTTCTAGGTCCCAAATGTTAGCGATTTAGCTCCTTTAATGTCGTCAATAATGATTTTTGAAATTAATGTATAATAATAAATCATTTTAAAACATATTTCATATGATAGGTTCACAAAGATGTATTTTTGGGCCATTACGATGGCGTTGGAAAGTAAGTAAGATCTCTTAAACACGGTACTCATTCACATGCTAATGTGATAACTTATCCCTGGCAGTGTCATCTCCCCATACTCTTCAAATTCCATCTCCATGTACCAAACGATTTTTTAAAGATGCACAACCAAATTTATCCAATCTCATATTGAAACAATTGAAAAATTTCTTGTTAATCCCACATATGTTACTAGTGTCAAGTGGGAAAATGGTTTGTATCGGTGAATGGATATGAAATCTCTATTATAATAGCGAACATGAATAGCTATTAGTAATGATATAAATATGATAAAATCTACTACGATTTATATGTAATGAAATAGCAATATATCAGTTTTCACAACAATGATATTCGGCAATTATTTTACGAGTATAATATCACTATTTAAAATCTAGGTCAACATACAATAGGATAAACAGGTGTAACGAATTATGTGTTGTGATGATACATAAACAGTATATAACGCATCACACTACCGTAATTAAAGTGCACATAACTGACAATAAAGATGACATGTTTTTTGACTATATAACAGAACGTTTAATTTTAACCATGACATCTGAACTTTATTCATTAACACGAGACATCGTTGCTTATTTAGGGCTCAATTGTCGTTTAGCACAATATTGCTTATACATGTTATTTTATTCAGTTAAAAAATAATAGTTTCATACAAAGATATACAAACATTGAGCAAACAAACACAAAGGAAAGACAAAACAAGAAACAATTACAATATGCCGAAACAATAATACTATTGACAAGTAAGGTAAAGGTCTAGATAGAAAATAGTGATGATCGAATTTAGCTACATCATGAGACCTTTTTTAAGGTTCAAATATACAATTCTTGCGATAAGAATGAGAGAAATGATGTCGTCATCTGAAGTATTACTAATATATTAAGGGTTATCTATAGGCCCCTATTACAAAGAATAGAGGAAATACTTAGATTCGCCCATAAAAGTATCGAACTGTTTACTGTTGAATAAAAGATGACACTAGTCATCAAGAGCTTTGTATTCAGAGCACAGTTATTGTAAGGAGACGTCACACATACCGATTTACCAGCCAATCATTGAATTAAAGATGCATTATGTAAGATTTAGATAAAGAGCTGACAGTTCTAGCTATAATAGTTTAAAAATAGATATGAAAAAAGAAAATGTTGAAAATTTCAGACAAATTACTTCATTATGTGGCCATGTTGGAAGTTATGACTGTTTAAAGAATAGCCTATCCTCGATTATCCATTTTGAAATTAAATTATTAAAAGTCGGTCGTGTTTTAATCCGTTCAAAATTACAACCACCAGATGGTCTAGAGAGTTGATTATAAGCTTGTAATGTGAATAGATGTCTAGTTAATAATTTATATAACATTTAAGGCCAAAGGAAAGATCTGCAATGGGCAGATTTAAATCTCACATAATGTATCTTTAAAACTGTACCAATTGTTATAGTCCAGAATTGACCTGGTTAGTTCCTTATGTATGTTAATCCCCTCTCGGTTGATATATATATACATATACAGTTATAAGTTGATATATTGTAGGTAGTCAGGCAACTATGTTCAAACTGATATACTATAATATATAAATAGATAAGAATAAGTAGATTTACAACTATATATATATGCAATATGTTGATAGTGGGCGAGGCCCTTTCCTATTTATAGAATCCATTTTAAGTTGTTTACATTTATTTCTAGTGACACAAATTTTTGAAAAAGGACAAGGACAACCATTATTTTAATATTTATAATTTCTGGTTGTTGCGTAAACATGGCTTATATTATAAAAAATACCCCTAATAAATATACAAGGTATTTGACATAGCCATTGAACTCCGATGCTTGAATGGCAAAATTTAGTTGCGTCGAACTCAAACGTCGATGTAAGCTTACATTTAGTAAAAACATCACCACAATAGCCATGCGTAGTAGTCTGCAGGGTGTGCTCTTTGTTTATCACCCGATTCCATTCCCATCGGTTTGGGAAGTTTACATTACTAGCAGTTCTTGATCTTTTTTTGTATAACTGCCTAACCTCCCAATGCATAACCTTTATTGACGTAAACATGTGCTAGTCTTGAAATGTGTTGATTGGGCGATTAATCATATCCTCCTCTCTTATATGTTAGTGACGGGTATCGTACTATATGTTAGTCCCGAAATGACCGAATCTGTGTTGAGTGGACGTTAAATCTCATCTCTCTCTCTTGACGAGTTTTAACAAATTAATAAACTAATAAAACACTTTAAATTAAATAAAATAGTAAACAAACTGATTACATTTTATCTCTCAGATATTTTGAAGTCGCCATTTTTTGAATATAGTAAACAAAACTACTCTTATCGGCCTATGTATAAAAAGGTCCTCTTTCCGGATTTTTCTTTCATGTTGTGTCCAAAATGTAATCCATTGGATAGTTTACCTTTAGATAAAAAGAATGTAAGACAATGAACGTGAGATGTAGGCTATGTTTGTAATTATTTATACAGTAGAATTTAAGATACATTTGTGACAGTTTTTGTGCCATAACAAAGATTGTAAAATACATTGTAGAATTTCAAATGTCTTCATAAGCTCGGTTGGAGCAGAAATGGCATAGATTTTATCTTTGTACTCTTATTTCATTCGTTTTCTTTTGTTTTGTATTCCGTATTTTATACTTGACCGGAATAGGGAAATTTTAGTCTTCCTTTGGGGCTCCTTGACCCGGTTGGAGCAGAAAAATAGGACGTTAAGTTCAACCCTTTTTTTTTTATTTCAAATGGCATTTTAGTCGCTAAGAAATTGGAAAGGTTATACGAAGAAAGCCAAGGTGTATTTTATTTTTGTATACTACATCAGTCGTGTTCTTTCGTTATATAATGCGTACATGTATTTTATACTTGTCCAAAATTTAAACTACAAGTATTTTTCTTCTAAGTAAAGGTTATAAATCTGAGTGAGAGCCATGGTGACTCAGTGAGGAAGACGTTGTATATCTAACGTGGAAGCTCCGCATTCGATCCGTGTTGACCGAGAAAGTTCATCGGGCTTTTCCGGCGGGCCTTGTCAATGTTGTAGGACGGAGGGCCTGGCCAGGGACAACGTATATAGTCGCCCGGATGGAACGAACACCGAGCCCCGCTGTACACATTAGTGTGTACGTAAAATACCCCCTGACAGATGGAATTCGATATAAGAGTCCACACAATATTTCCGTCACAGCGCAATGTATGGAGTATGCCCATCTTCATTAGTCCAGTTGGAGCAGAACAGTAGGACGCTAAACCCCATTTCATTTCACAAATCTGGGTAAAACCCCACTTATGTATAAGTGGTTCCCAGACTTGATCCGAGTTGCGTGTATCGGGAATGTTGAAGAAGAATTCAGACGATGCGGTTAGCTAATTCTCCTGATTCTTCAAACAATATAATTGTTTAGATTTTATCAGCTACTGAAAGTCTGTAAATGCAGTATGTGTTTAGGTCAGCTACTGTTTGCCGTCGCCATATTAGTTCATTTCGATTCTTTTATCTACAGGCTACAGTAGGGCTACTATCGGGATGGGGTTTAATGTCGTCAACACAATACTTCCGTCATTTTGAGACAAATATATGGTAATTGGATTTCCAATGGTTATTTGTGCAGTTTAAGGAACAGTGTTCTGCATGTACAACGCCCATTTTTTTTGGACCAGGAACTGGTTGCTAACCGCTACTCATGTTGTTCTTGTTCTTCATGTTCTTCTTGTTCTTGGGGTGACGTTGAAGACATTGCGTAATATATATATATTGCTCTCGTGCTATCGCACTCGTACACAATCAATATATTACTTAATGTCTCGCACTCGACCATTAGACTACACCTCATATGTAAAGCCACGCCCACCCAACACTACCTAACACGACTAGGAAACACGACATAAACAGGACAGAAAGTCTGCTAACACCTGTTCATGCCAACATCTTGAAATAAAATCTAACCAAAGCTGTTGCCAACTTTTCTAATTACTTTCTTTGACCTTTTTTTATTTTCCTAATCGATTAGTGATTAGTAGGATTGACCGCCATATTGTAACAAGATTGATTGACAACTTGACAGTTTGACATACACGTACGACATTAA